CTGTCTCTGTCTCAAAAGTAAAATAAACGTTAAAAAAAAAAATTAAAAAAAATAAAGTGTCTTATGGTTTATTTTCCCACCTTTAAAAGGAGGCTACTATATCAGTTCATCACCATTGTATCCCGTGTGAAGCATAAGTACAAAGTATTTCAACTGTACTCTTGTTTCCCCTATTTGGGGGAAGTTTCACCAAAGGGTTTTAAGAGATAACTCATTGAATTAGCATTTATGACCCACATCCTGAAGAACTGTCTGCTGAGATCATTACACTTTTCCTTTTAAATGTCCATATGAAGAGGTAGGTATTGGATCTGCTCACAGAGCTATAGTTGCTGTTACTTACTGAGCACCCATATTACACCAGGTATTGTATCCAAGGTAGGAATGAACAGGAGGATTACAGGAAGTTGCTGGACATGAAGAGTCAGGTTGACTGAAAGGCATACCTGGACACTCATAGGAAGTTTCCCTCTGAAAGTGAAACTTCCCCTATGTTCACATCATTGGCCTGGGGTAGAGGGGAAAGAATGGGTTTGCTACCACCTGAATTTTGAGAGATAAGAAAACTTGAGTCAGACTGGGCACATGATAGTTAGAACTACAAATCAAAGCTTTGTTGTTAAAAGGGAAGTGATTGCTGGTTTTTTAATGGGTTTTCCCAGCCGAACACAGAAACTGATCTTCAATTACACTTGACTGCTTCTATCATGATAGCAAGTGAGACACAGAGAAAAAGAGATTGTTCTCCAGGGACATTTACTCTGAACACTTCATTATCCTGGCTGAGGGGATCTCGGTAGGCAGAGAATGTTCTCCCATTGGACCGAATTGTGAGGGGCAAGGACCTGCCATATGTCACAACAAACTAAAAGACAATAGGGTGAAATGAAGGACCCTCATTTCCATGAACTTATTAACCCTTTCTCAAGGGAAGAGCCTGAGACAGTGTAAACTTCCCAGAAGGCTCCATAAACTCCATGCACACAATCACCCCCTTCCTTCTGGCTCCCGGCACGTGTCCCAGGCATCCCCAGCAGACCCCGTGTTTAAGAGGCAGCCTCACTCTTAGCAGTCAAACTTGGATCAGTCGCCCCTGGAGCTTCAGCTCTAGCACACCCAAGAGATTTGATCCAGAATGAAGCAGATGAGAGCCGCTGATCCTTCCTCCCCCTTGCTGAAATTCCACATTTCCCAGAACTAGTCCCAACTTCCTCCTGCCTTTTAAAGGTGGGAATGGTAGGAGATTTTGGTTAGAAGCCCCTTTGCAAATTCCCTGCTGATTCTGAATTTTTGTCCCTAATCTCCCAGTCCCTCCAACCCCGGTGCTGGATCTGCCCGATTCTGAGAACACTAAGCCCCCAAAGGGGTTAGATTTTCCTACTGGGAACTGGCTTCCTTCCCTTTCCAGGCTGAAAAGTGTGAACACCAATTATTAGACCAAGGGGTTCACAGGTGGTCTCATTCAATGTATGCACCACCCCTCCCCCTGCACTGTCCGCTGCAGTATTTCTCGGATGAGGAACTGAGGCTTAGAGAGGGTCTGGGGGTGTCCTCTGCCTATGAGTCTGTGAACGGTGGATCCTAAAAAGCCCCTTGCCCTGTTCTTCTGCAGGTCAGAACCAGCCTGCACGTCCAGGTGCGCCGCAGGCCTCCTTCCTTTCCCCCCTCGGCGCCCTGGGGAGATGCAGGTGAAACTCCCACAAAGCTGAACGGTTCCGGTTTCATTCCTGACCGGACCCAGGTGGAAAAAAAACTTCATTCCCTCAGCGGCTTGGTGGGCGCCTGCTCCCACCAGTGCTGCGGTGACCTCGCGGCCGCAGAGCGCCGTCCTGGGAACTGCTGTGTCCTGGAGCTGCGAATAAACCAGCAGGCAGTGGCCCCGGGGACACCCGGCTCCAACTGTCCGCGCAGCTGGCTGCTGGCCACGCGTTGCTTTCGCGGCTAGGAAGAAGGCCCGGCGATTCTAGTTTTGCCCGGAAAGCGGAGGCGCTTTGATATTCCGGGTTTAAACAGGAGAGCATGGCCCAGGCGGCCAGCTCCCGCGAGGCTTGGGCAGCCTAGGTGCAGCCTGGCTGCTTGCAGGGCTCACCTTTGGCTACTCCCCTGACCATAAATTAGTGGGCGCCTCCTCCCAAGGGTTCTCCGGGCCTCCTTCCCGCTCGCCTACGCTCTCCGGGCCAGCAGTTCTGCAGATCCAAACCTCCACACCCGTGTGGTAAGGGCCTGGGGTCTGCAGAACGGTAGGAGGGGTAGAGCTAAATGGGGTCGCGGAGATCCGCACTCACCCCGCCTGACACCCCCACTTCCCCCGGGTCTCCGCGTCCATTCCCAAGGAGTCAGTTTCTCCTCTCCAGGCTGGCTCTCCCTGCCGGCCACCTGCGTCTGTTGGGATGCCTCCGAAGGTCTCTACTCTTTGCATCCTCTTCCATCTCCTTCCAAGAGCACCCTAACTTCTTCCAGCTCTCATCTGAACCCCCAAAGGGCAGTTTCTTCTCTCCAGACTAAAACTGGACCCGCAGCGGGTGGAAAAGCCCCAAAGCCTCCCACACTACGCTGCAAGCTACTTGCTTACCAAGTCCAAAGGTCAGCTAAAGTTTGGCTGATAAACAGAACCAGTACAAGAAGGTCTTCAGCCCCCCAGCGTGAGTACAATGGACCCTGGCAAGCCCTGCTCCCGGCCCGGGTCTCCAGCTCTCCACGTCTGCTCCTCATGCGCTCCCTCTCTCGCTTTTCCCCCCTCCCCACGACCATTTGCATCTTGCCGAAAGCCGGGCCCTCCCCACTAATTTGCATATCTTATATGGCCTAATGGTGGCGATCATGGCAAGTTAGAAGTTTTCTGACTCCTCTCGGAGGAGACTCCGGGACCCCGGGGAGTAACAGGTGTCTGAAGGGTGGGGGGGCTCCTGGACTTGGGGTTCGCTTGTGAAACTCCCCTCCACCCTCCTCTCTCGCGCCCACCCCCTCACCCCCTTCTTTCTCTGTCCTTGGAAAATGGTGTCCAAGCTCACGTCGCTCCAGCAAGAACTCCTGAGCGCCCTGCTGAGCTCCGGGGTCACCAAGGAGGTGCTGGTCCAGGCCTTAGAGGAGTTGCTGCCATCCCCGAGTTTCGGGGTGAAGCTGGAGACGCTGCCCCTGTCCCCCGGGAGTGGGGCCGACCCGGACACCAAGCCTGTCTTCCATACTCTCACGAACGGCCACGCCAAGGGCCGCCTGTCTGGGGACGAGGGTTCCGAGGACGGGGACGACTATGACACCCCTCCCATCCTCAAGGAGCTGCAGGCGCTCAACACCGAGGAGGCGGCCGAGCAACGGGCGGAGGTGGACCGGATGCTCAGGTAGGCGCGGACCGAGGTGGAGCCCCTAGAGCCCGGGCCTTGTGCCAGAGCTCCGCTGCTTCAGACCCCTCTCGCCAAGTCCTTTTCCCACCAAGGAAGTCCCCCGGGGGGCGCTCCGCTTCTCTCCCGACACCTGGACCCCTCCCAGTACCTCAGTCGGAGGGCCCTGAATCCCGAGCTCCCTCTCCCCCGGCCCAGGCCAGCGCCCCGGACCGCGGGGTCCTCCCGGCCTGGGAGAACCGCAGCGGCGGAGCCCTTTGCGGGAGGATTGCGCGCGCTACTGAAGGTGCGGGTGGGTGCAGTGAGACGGTGACCACTTCCCAGGAGCAGAGACTCGGGCCCGCACAAATCCCGGGCCTAGCATTTCTCCCGGGCCAGCCTCCTACCCGGTCCCGGGAAACGCAGGCCGGCCTCGGGCGCAGCGTCCTGCTGTTCTTTGCAGAGGGCCTGGGGACACCCGGGGCCGGGACTCGGGGGGCCAGTTCTCTGGGAGGGCACTCCCATCTGCAGCGCCCATGCAAGGCCCCAGGATTATCCGGAATCCTCAAAGCCGGTTCAGATTTGCAAAAGGAAATGTTTGCGTGTCGCAGGGCCCAGCCTGACCCGCACGGGGCAGAAGAAGCACGTATCTAAGCAAGCGCGGGGGGCGGGGGGGGG